TCCCTTCTCTTTTAGAGGACTCAACTCACCAGTGGACTTAATTGGTTAAAGAATGGAAGGGTAATTAAAAGAAGTAACTAAAAGTTGAAACTAAAATTGTGCAAAGATAAGAATTTGATTGTGTCTTGGTGTGTTCAATCGGACGTCAATTGAACACATGGAATTTGGACCATTTCATACTTGCTAGTGATGAAATGATCCAAGTCTCCAAGGTCAACCACTTCCCTTGATCTTTCATGAAAGGGAGGAGGTTTGTGTATTTTTTTTCTTGCATTTATTGAACTTGCGCTCTTGGGTTCACTAGCCTAGATTACGATGGTTAGTTTAGGGACATCATGTTTTGTTTAACATACTTTATGTTTGCATCCATTTGTATTACATGCATCGAGGCTCGGTTCATCATTCTAACTGCATTGTTAGTTCAATACTTCTTTGAATACGTGCTTAGACCACATGCTATTTCATTGCCTCATATGCCATATTAGTAGTCGAGCCTATTAGTTGCATATCGCATGTGTTGCATTAGTCATATTGCATAAGTTAGGTACCATGCATATTTTTCTAACTCTTTTATTTTATCTTAGCTTGGAGTACCAGGTGAGTTTGTTTTATATATAGCAAATGTTATATTGTGCTTTAGTTACTATTCCTTCCATGATTTAGGGGATTTTTGGTACTTACAAGATTCTATAGTATCCTAGGGGTAAGGGGGTGGCTGGACATCCTTGATTTGGTGGGACAAAATTATTTATTTTGTGTACAATTAGATATAATATTTGTAACCAAAGATTGAATTAAGGTACAAACATATACATATGATTTGATTATCATGATCTTAGAGAATATTTGATTTGATGCTCATTATAACCTAGGGGTTGGTATGATGGTTGGCTATGTTGAAGATTTGAAGAGATTTTATTAATTAAAAGATCTCCCATATGCAACTTGTTTAATTTGGAAATTGGTACAAGTATGTATACATACACACACGCACACACACACATGTGTGTGTGTGTGTAAAAGTACTAATTTGGGGTTAATTTGTAATTCAAGAAAAACGTGAGGGTTAAGGCCTTAATATCTGTATTGGAACATTTATGTAGTATTTAATTTAATTAGAATTTGGAAATTCAATTGAATTAAAATTTCTTTATTACGAATTAAACAACGAATCGTAATGAGAGCTAAAAATCTAGGATTTTTGAGCAAAAAATATAATTATGAAATTAATTTAATTATTTTTAGGGCTTTGGAAATGATCCCTAAGTTCCCAGGTTCAATTAGGGTTTGCAAGTTTTTGGTTGGCACGCGTTTTCAACTCCATAGCTAAAATTGAAAATAAATAAAGAATCGAGAAAGAGTTCAAAAGTGAAGGCCTAGAATAAAATTACTAAGGTTAGGAGCCTCATAGTTAATATTAGGGTGTCAAAATCGGTTACTAAGATATCAAGGTTGATTAGGGTTCGTACAGGTTCGTTTACGATGCATTTTCGGTTCTAGGGTTAATTTTGCGAATTAACGTGGAACTAAGAGCTTTATTATAAAATCTCGAAAGTCAGGGACTTAATAGGGTTTTCAAAAGTCAGGGGTCTCACAACCTATCTCCCTTAAATAATTTCATCCTCGAAATTTTAGCCATTCTTCATGTGTCGAAATGTTGTGGGCAATTGCATCATTGCGCTCTCGGATAGATTCTGCCAACGTATCTTAATCATTCGAATCATCTTCTCCTCTTAAGTTCTTCTCCCTTCTGTCCAGAACTGCCATTGATCTTGTCCTAATAATAGTATTTTGAATCAAATTCTTTCCCCATTAATGGCTTAAGGGGTGCGTTAATCTTCTGTGTTCTTTAAAAATTCTAAATTGTTTGTCACACAGCTAATGACATTGCTGCTCTAGTGTGAGGGCTTGTATTGCCAAATTCTTGATACTCTTGTTAAGAATTGATCCTTTGGTAATTTGTTGATACAATTGCATTTGTTGATTTGTTGTATTATGGAAACTAATCTATCCCCCCTTAAATAATATAAGTGTTCCGTTGGATAGGTGAGTCATCTCCTTCTTTTGGTAACTATCGATAATGGCTAAGGTATGAGTAACGAATTTATTTCTAAGATGATGTCGGAGTAGGGTATTTTCATGTCTCGGGAATTGAAAATTAAACATACAAACATTTCCTAGTTACCTTTTCCCTAAGTTAGTCATTAATCATATTCCTCAATTCTTGTCTACCCTTCACATAAGGTACTAACGTGGCCTGCTTTCTAGTGTTCTTTGGTCCTTTTCCACAATCAAGGTTCTGGAGTAGGGTGTTTTATTCCTTCGGTTGCTCATTTCTGATCTCTCATGAAGTTGGTTTTCTTTCCGCAAGCTCCAAATCCTTTTAGATTCTACCTCCTCTCATTTTGAATCCAATGATGTGTCAACTATTTCCACAAAGGTGGGAAGTCTTAATAACAAGACTCCTCCAGAATTTGATTTCTAATAGGGTTCGGGATTTCGGCCATGATTACTAGTTTGTTCTTAAGGTTTCAATTTCCTGAAACCACATTCCTATTGCGTTGTTGCTTGTAAGCTCGTGTGTCATTCCTTGTCTCGGAGTGTGGTCCACCATTTTGTATTTTTTGTATGGGGTGAAGCATAAGTCAGGTTCTAACTACGGAGGCAATTTCTTATGGGTAATCAACTAATCTTTAAAGTTAGAGCTTAATTATCCTATTGTGTTCACACAACACAACTTCATACATATATATATATATATATATATAGGCAAAATAATAATTACAAGAGTCTTAAAATTGGATTCGTGGAAAGAATACAAAGTAGAGATGAAGAATATGAAGCAGTTATAGTGATAACATCAAGATCAACTAAAATATGGATGAACGGTATGATATTACGATTTCGAACTTCAATGCTATCAAGGTTATATAGGTAATAACTAAACTAGATAATTAACTTGAAACAGTGTTGGCCATCCGCGTTTCAAACCGAATATCAAAGATTTGTCACCGAGTAAAGAAAATGAAACTATTTACAAGAAGCCTTGCACTAAATAAAATAATCAAGTCTCAAAGGAGGTCAATTTTACAAATGGTAGTATATAAAATAGGACTAGATGGTCATCACTTAATCTTGGAAAAGGATGACTTCGAATAAAGGTTACGAATACAAGATGAGGGTACGATGATCGATAGAAGACACGTAGAACTAATACTATCCCTACTGCGGGATGTGAGGCCTTGCTCAAAGTTACGACCACTTCCTGAACTTGAATACGTACTCATGAGTTGATGTTGCTATGCCCGGAATATGAAGAAACGCCCTAAGGTAAGTCAGGAAAATTTCTAGTTTTAATGTCTGTTAGTTGATAGAATAGGTAGCGTTATAATACTATAACATAGTTAGTGTAAGGTAGTCGCTAACCGCAGGTCGAAACGTGTGGGTAAGGGTTGAACCTAAGCTCTGATACCAAGTTGTCATGCCCAAAAAATCAGGAACAACAAACAATATATTAACAAATAAATACTGGGTTTATCTAAGGCTACAAGAGTAGGAAATGTTACTAATGAGTCCTTTGGTTAATAGCGAAGTAAGATCCCAAGAAGGTCGGAGGAGTCAATATAGCCTTCCTTTGAAGTCTAACCACCTTAGATAGCAAAGCTACCCTTTTGACAGATCTTAGGAAGGTATTATCACAAGGACTACATAAGTTGATGAGAAAATAAGGAATATGTAGTATAAAAAAGATGCTTTGATAAATTATAATTACAAAATCATGTCTTAAATACAACAAGGGATTCATTGCTTACAATGTCAAAACACATTTACAAAACTAGTTTCTAATTCTCCTAGGGTAGACGTACGTCTTCAAATGCTTTAGCTTTGCCTTTGACCGGACTAATAGTCTTCAATACTTGGCATGAAACGCCATGAGTTTTGAATACCCAGTAAACACACACATAGCCCACCCCTTTTTGCCAATCCAATACACCATCATAATTACAACAAGCAACTAATGAAGCATGATATTCAGGTCAATAACAAAGGATTACTATAGATTGCTTTTCGTGCTCCTCGGAGGGGTTTAGTCTCACCGTATACGATAGACCTACAGTTTAGACTCCGGTGATTTTGAATCTGGTTTTGCAAGTGTAATGTGAAACAAATAAACATAAATGAGTCTAAATACGAAAAATCTTGTAGAAAATTCATTTATCATTGGAGATGCCAAAAATGGACTGCATTGCCAGATTTTAGTGTCGCCACCTAAATATTTTTGAGAAATTTAGAAAACTCGTGACTTGTGCCAAATGCCACTTGTCTGTCATAACCAAAGTGTCTTGGTTTGGGAACTTACGTATGAGAGGGGAAGGTCATGAATTGAGCACCTCACTTACCCGATCAAAGATCGGCCTCTACTAATCATGATGTGATTCTTATGTACAGTATATGCTCTTGTTCCGATTATTATGCTAACATTACTATGTGAGGTCAAACAAATATATACCACTTTGCTTAATTTAGAACGCTTCGATTTCAATGCAATTTTTGAAAGAGTTTTTGAAATACGCGACTCAAAGAAAATGAGTTTGTATATGCAATAATCAAAGTCGTCCTAACTTAGGCAAAATAACCTTCATCCACAGGCATTCAAAGAGTTATTTCAAATAAGCACGTAGCCTCATGGTAGTTATGCTCGACATATCAACAATCGCACGCATACAATATGCTAAAGCAAAAATGCTTTTCCCAAATATCCAAGATGAGCCAAAAGAAAGAAAATAGTTAGAAAAATGCATGATTCTAAACCATGCAACATGACTAATGCAACGCATACAACATGCAATTAATAGGCTCGGCTACTAGCATGGCATATGAGTCAATTCAAGGCACGCGATAAAGCACGTATTCAAGTAAGGAATTTGAAATTAATATTTGATTAGTATGATGAGCCGAATCCTTATGCATGCAAACTGATAGATGCGGGTCATGAAAAATGCTAAGGAAAATATGATACTATACAACCACAATAAGCGAATAAATAAAAAGGAGGAAGAAATGGAGGTTGGAAGACATACACAAATTATTACAAATGTACCCTCGTACAAGAGGGTCCGAATGTCCAAGTGTCTGAATTAACTATTTATTACAAATCCAAATGAATACTATCTAATTTATTACAACAATAATATTACAACAAGAATATGTAAAGAATGCACAAGGATCCCATACGCGCCGACGAAGACAGCCCTCATAAATTGCTCTCTTTGCCTCCTGGAAAACTGTTCTGTTTCACCCTCAGCCACTGCTCTTTGTTTCAATAAAAGTGCTATGTTTACCATACATTGGAGCCCGACCGGCCTGCAATGAGGCTCGGTTGGGCCCAAACAAATCCGGTCGTGCCCTATTTTTTTTGCAGAAGACTGTTTTTGTGCTCTGAGGTGAAAATAGTGCAGATAGAGTGTTCCTAAGCCATGTTTGTCTTTTCTGCCCTTCTCTATCATGGAGATGTTCAAGGGAGGAGCAGATTCGGGTCTCAAACCATCAAGTATCACAAGTTGATTGCATGCTGATTTTAGAAGCAACTGGACAAGAATTTACTAAAAACCAAAAGACTAACAGTGCCTCCCTCCTATCATGAAGTCGATTTCAAAAGGGGTGTAGACACGCCTCAAGAACCATCAAACATCATGAAATTAGTATGCGATGACTCTAAAAGTGACGGATTCGGTAAAACGTCCGACCGAATCCAACCAATTTTATTAGCTCTTTATGTCGGTTTTAATTTAAGCCAATTTTATTAGCCTTTTTTTTTATTTTATTATTTTTTTATCTTACCTGTCCATTTTTTATCTTTTATTCCATTTTGTCCAAAAGTGATATTTACGTCCACTAAGTCCAAAAGCAATAAAGATGAATAAGCATCGACTTAACCCGAGAACAAAGACATTCTGAAGGATTGGAGAAGCAAAGTCCTCAAACAACTCAGAAGCAAAGTCAGAAAGTTGACTATGGCCAAGCTTGCACAATTCATAATTATTCGGGGTGAACTTTAGCTCCAGGGAAGTACCGGATTCTTGGCCCGTTGACCAAGAGGAGGCAAACTTCCGGCTACGACAAATTCATGAAAAGTACTACGGAGATGGGGATATTAGTTTGTACCGAAGAATCCAAATACAGGGCTACTACTGGCCCGAGATGGAGAAAGCCTCGAACCAAGTACAAAAAGAATTCCCCAAGTGCCAGTCATGCATCCGGGAATATGAGAGTTGCTTTGAGATTGATACTCCCGATTGGAGACAAGTCTATATCGACTATCTTAAGGAGGGGACACTACCAGAAAATCCGAGGGACATTGCACACCTCAAGAGGAGAGCGAGACGGTACTTTTTTGATCAAGACAAGCTTTACAGAAGAAGTATTGAGGGCACTCCCCTAAGGTGTCTCTCTAAGGAAAAGTCGAATCTAGTCCTTGGAAGAGCTCACAAAATTGAACATCAAGAAGGGGCTCGATTGTTTGAGCAACTGATACATCCTGGGTATTATTGGTCGACCCTGGATTCAGATGCCTCAAATTATGTGAAGAGATGCCAAACTTGTTAGAAGCACGGAAACTTGATCCATGTACTGGCTGCAGACCTGCACAACATCCGAACACTGTGGCCATTTCATACTTGGGCTTTCGACCTTATAGGGCCAATCTCCCCACCATCCAAGGGATATAAATGGATCCTCGTAGCAATGGAGTTGAGCACAAAATGGGTCAAGGCGATCCCCTTGAAAAATGCAACGGGGCCCACGGTTGCAAACTTTATCAAGGAAAATATCATCTGCAGGTTTGGAGAAACACCATATCCTTTCAAATAATGGCACATCCTTCATAAACAAACATGTGAAGAGCCTTCTAGGAGACTTATCAAGTAAAGCATCACAAATCCACTCCTTACTACCCCAAAGGGAACGGGCAAGTAGAGGCCACAAACAAGACCTTGATCAGAATCCTGAGTAAAATGATGGATAAGTTCAGTGGGACTTGGTTTGAACAGTTAATAGTAGCCCTATGTGCGTATCGTACCTTGAAGAGAAAGCAAACTCAAGCAACTCCTTACTCCCTTGTTCATGGGTCCGAGGTAGTGTGTTACCTATAGAGCTGGAGATGCCATTTGCGTGGATGGCCCTTGCCTCGGGAATGGTGCTTGAGCCTCGAACTACCAGACTTGAAGCACTGGAAAAGCAAGACAGGGCTGCGAAAGTCATGGAAAGATATCATGAGTCCATTGCCCGAGCCTATAATCAGACAGTGGTGCCAAGAAGGTTCGAAGAGGGTGATCTAGCCTGGAAGATTGTAGACCCAATCATGCGAGGACAATCTCTGCCCAAGTTCTCCCCAAAATGGGAGGGGCCCTATTGGGTCATTCGAGCAAGTGTACTACAGGCTCATGAGAGTTGAAGACGGCTTCCGAACAGGCCCGCTCAATGCAAAGTTTATCAAGCGTTATTACCCATAAATTGACTCATCTATGTTAATGCTCGCTTTCATTCTCTTACTTTGTCTAAAAGTTTTATCTTGCTTATGTTATGAAGAAAGTTGGTTTCCATTTTGATTTATATGTCTGTTGCATCACTTGAGATGAAAATTTTGTATTTCTATTAAGAAAATTGAGAAATTAATGAGAATACTTCTGTTTTTTTATTTTTTTATAAAAAATGTGCTTGCGATTGTTCTTTTGTTCACATCATTCAAGACAAATGTTTTATTGAGTAGAACGAGAAAACAATGAGAAAGCTTCCGGAACTTTGTTATTTCAATGCATTGTCCTAGATAAAACATTTTTATCGAAAAAGGCAATAAAACAATGAGAAAGGAACCCAAAAAAAAAAATTAAAAAAAAGAAAAAGAAACATACAGGAACTCAGAGGAAGTCATACCTACATAATACTCGAAGAAACTCAATCTCTTTTGAAGATGCCCTCGAAAAAGTTGCACGTCACGTCTACATCCGGAGGACAGGCAGCGGAGTGTTCCTCTAAACCTGCCAAGGCCTGAGCATATCTCGCCTCAAGCTCACGAAGAGTCGCCTTTGCTTCTTCTATAGAAGTCTGATGAGAGGCAAGCTTAGACAAAACCTCCACGCGGCGACTGGCATTCGAGGCTATATCCAGGCGCTTTCGAAGCCATGATAGATCTACCTGATGACGCTCCATATCTGAGATCCCCTGATATGCTGTCTCAACTACCTTCTCGTTAAGGTCACACAATCGTTTCCGATCCAAGTTATACAAGATAGTAACAAAAGACTCGAGAAGAGCAGTCTGAATCAGTGGGCATTGACAAGCAAAGGAAGCAAAGGTCTCAGGGTAACTCGAATGCACAAGCTGTAGAACTGAGGCAAACTCAGGGGCTACCCAATAGTGGAGAAATGGTACTTTTCCAGAAACCGGGGTTGTAACTGGGGCTGAGAAGTTGTTAGTTTCAAGAACCTCTCCAATCTCTATCGGGTAAGATGAACCACACGCAGGGGAAACCTCAGGGAGAAAGCTCGAGCCTAAGAATGCGGTCTGATGAGGGGAAAAACCAAAAGTGTCGCTAAGATTCAGATCCAAAACAATCCCGGGCACCTGCAATGGAGAGCCCTTAGCAATCGTCTCAAAGGCAGATGTGTCCCCTCGGGAAGGAGAGCCATGAGGAGTCACAAAGAGAGTTAGAGCAGAGTCTGAGGCAAGTGAAGGCAAGACTCCGGTAGCGGCTAACACTGAAAAAAGGAGGGAACTTTATCAGAGGCAGGGAATAGTAAGACCATTTGAGTAAGAAACTCTCACAAATGAAAATACTTAACAAGCTCCAGAGAGCAAGATTACCTGATAGAGGATCATTAGGCAGAGCCAGGGCAACCGGGGTCGAATCAAGTGGAGCATGAGGAACCCCAACATCAATGAAACCACTCGACTGTATGGAGGGATCCCAGCATCTAAATAAGAATTTTTATATTTTTTAATTAGTTTTTTGCAATGTATATCATTTAAATTTTAATTTTTTCACTATTGAGATAAAAAAAAATTATTTATTAAATTTTTTTTTTGTTTTTTATTTGGGGGGCAAATTGATTTTTAGGGTATGGTTTGGGAGTAAAATAAAGTTTCAAATGAATTTTGATACTACGTCAACAAGTTTCGTTTAATTATAGACAGAAATAGACAGTGGAGGTTAAATTGATCAAATTTTAAGAAGTTTAGAGATCAAATAAAAATAATGCGAAGCTTGGATGTCAAATTGAAAAATGCGCAATAATTTGAGAGCAAAATGATATTTCCTATTTTATTATATAATTTGCAGTGGGAGTGTGAGTTGATGACATTTTTATTTGGAGGAAAATGTAACTGAATTGTAAGAGATATATACTTACCTAAGCCTTTTTCCGTTGAGGTTGTTGAGGTGGTCCTCTTGATCATCAATTCTAGGACTTCCACTGGGTCCTGCTGCCGCTGCATCATAGTAATTGTCGTTGAGGTCGAGGTCGCGTTTTCTCTTTGATGTAGTAGCACTACTACTACTACTACTCAATGCTTGTTCTTCAACTTCCCTGTATACAACATGGACACCGACCTTTTCAATCTCTACTTTGGATACGGGGATGCAGTCCTGTTCTGCCAGGTTTTCACCTTCTCCAATTGAAGAAGGCTTATAATAAGCTTCACATTCAAATCCACCTTCATTTAATTGCTCCATATCATCATTAAAATAAGCTTTACATTCAAATCCACCCTCATTTAATTGCTCCATATCATCTTCCGTGATTCCCGAAAATGCACCCCGTGGGATAAACCTAACCACCATATTTCCAAATTTGACAGATGGAATGTGGTTACCCCCCCGTTCTTCGACGATCCTCTGAGTAACGTGGCACTTGAAGTTCATTTCAATATGACAATAGTCCGGTTTAGCCTCTTTCAATGCAACAACGGCGTAAGCAAATCCCAAGAACCTGTTGTTAAACCAATTTGGAGGCAACTGAAAAGATGTCGAAGACCCCCTACTTTGATGGCTGAACCACTTTGGAATCTCTCTCCCAGGTAAAACAATGTCACAATAACCCTTACGAAAATTTCTCTGTACAATAGAGATTGGTCTCAATCAGTGGCTGGCGCCTCAGAAAAAAAAAAATGTAAAAATGTAGACAAGTAATGTGACATAAACAAATTAATAAATTGACTTTTTTTAATTCATTCTAAACCAACCCAAAGTTAGGTACACATCCAAAATCTTAAATTATGATTTATATTAAGTAATATTATAAGAATAATGATAAAAAAAAAAGATGCATAAAAACATATTGCTCAAATGGTAAGAATATTCGTCAAACGTTAGTCACCTCATAATATAATTTTATATTTTTAAGACCTCCCTTTATATAATAGAATAGATAGATATAAAAAATAAAAATGATAAATGATACTTTATCCTTTAATGTTTGGCCACTTTCTCACTTTAACCCTTAAAATTTATTTTTTCTCACTTTAACCCTTTATGCTTGAAATCTTTTCTACTTTACTCTTAAAACTAATTTCTGTTAAAAATTAAATAAAAAAATACCACAATAACTGTCACATAACATAAAAAAATATAATATTATATTAGTCACTAAATTTATGTCAGACGTGGGAGTTATATATAATCAACTATTTTTAAGCTACGAGATTACTAGCATGTAATTTTTTGTCTAATTTTTAACAGAAATTAACTTTAGGAGTAAAGTGCGAAAAACTTGAAACATGAATTGTCAAAGTGAAAAAAAAAAAAAAAAAAAAAAAAAACCATTAAAGACCAAAGTGAGAAAATGATCAAATATAAAGAAGGCAAAGTATAATTTACACAGAAAAAATTCGCACTTATCTATATGACTCTGCAAAATACCGCTAAATTTGCTAAAATCGCATCAATTTGCACCGCTTTATTCATTAATCAAGGTTTAAACTTTAAAATTTATAATCTGCCTTCGAAAAATGAGCGTAAGAGAGATTTAATATGTGAAATTTATTATAGATTAGTAGTTATATATATATATATATGAAAAATATTATGTAAAATTAATTTGTGTTATATATATGAAAAGTATTATTCAAATTAATTTTATATATTATGCAAAGACTTGAAATCGATTAGAATATTTTTCAATTCGTCAATTCACCCAAAACCTCTCAAACCACAATTTGCTAATCTGTCATTTAATTTATAATTTTACTCTCAAGTTGTCTGAATTGTATCTGTGCACACCTCTATTTATCTATATCTATCATTTTTTATTATATATATATATATATATTTTGACAAAAAGACCCACAAGCCACACATTGGGCAATTGTTGACCAAGTGAGAGAAGTGGCCCATTAAAATACACACACCCAAACTCCCCCACTGATGTGGAAAGCTTGCCCCAAACCTACCCAGGCCGGAGAGCCCCACCCCGCAAATCTATGAAAAGTAATTACGGTTGTGCTTCAATTTGAGGGATATTATGGACTTATTTTTATAAGAAAAATGATTTGTCCCCCTAAAAAAGCTCCCCCTAATCCCTCTCATGCCCAAAACGACGTCGTTTTGGGCAAATTTTATTTTATTTTTTTGCCTTGGTTTGAAATTTAGGGGGATTAGGGGGCCAAAAATTAGGGGGATGTAGCAAGGTCCTTTTTATAATTCAAACCATTTTTTTTATAAGATTTGTTGAGTACTTCATGCCTATCAAAAATCATATTAATCGGATATTAACAACTATATGATCGATAACCAAAAAAATAAATAATAAGTTTTTCTTTTGAGAAATAGCATAAAAAATATGCAATTCGATCATATAGTTATTGATATCCAATTAATATGATTTTTGATGGACATGAAGTACTCAATGAACCCTACAAAATGAACGGTTTGGATCATAAAAATAAGTCTATAATACCTCTCAAATTGAGGTATAATAATCACTACTGTGCTTTTAGCATATCAGTGACTCCAATCTCCAAATCTATATGTATCAATCACTTTCCATTAATCTATTAATTTAAACTTTGGTTTGGTTTCTCTAATATGGGAGAATGCGAGAGGTCTGCCCTTACTATCAATAATTCCAACTATTAATTTTGTAAAATTTTTAATTTATATTATTCATAAAAAAAAATTAGTTTAATATGATATTCGTAATATTTTTAATTTATCACATTTGTTTCTGAAAAGATGAACAATAAATATATTTTTAAAAATAGACCATTCATTTTTTTACAGACAAACAAAATAAAATAAAAATGTTACTATTACCAGATTGACATAATTTTTTTTCATGAATGACATACATTAAGAATCTTACAAAATGAATGATTTGGATTATCAAAACATGACCTATGGTGAACCTTACCTGCTCCTCAAATTTATGTTGAGAGTGAACATGAGAGAAATTTAATTTATTTTTTTGGACAAATTATAAATACAACTCTTGAATTTTGCTTAAAATACAAATCATCCTTGTGGCTTTGGAAATTATATTCTGCCCATTGAAATTTCTAATTTCATAATAAATGGCTCCTTTTGTTAATAAATTATCAAATCAATTAATAGTTTTTAATGATTTAGAAATACATTTAAATTAATAATTCAGATAATTTTATTTTGTATAAGAGAGTATTTAGAAATTTTATTTTTCAATTAATTCTATTAAATAAAAAATTCTAACAAGGGATTATTTATAATTTTTTAAAATACAAAGACTAATCTATATTTTAAATAAAATTCAGGAGGTGTACTTGAAATTTACATATAGTTTTTTTTTATATAAATATATTAATATTTCTAGTCAATTACAAAAATAATATAAAAAAAAAAACTGAGTTTGAACCTTATAACAAAATTAACCATAAATTTTTAATTTTATCAATTATATCTTAAAATATTGATTTGTTTTCAATCTAAATTATTTGCCAATTTTTCTTAAGTAAACTCAATGAAAAAATAAGTATTTTAATGTATATTTTAGACATTTTATATATATTTAAATTGAGTTTAATGATTAAATTTTTTTTTGTCTGATTTACTTAGTGAAAATAAACAAATTGTATAAATTAAAAATAAATCAAAAGATTAGGGTTTAAATTGATAAAATCCAAAATTTAAGATTATTTTGTTACAAAACTCAAACTATTTTATTATTATTATTATTTTTTGTGTAATTATCCTTAATATTTTTGTTTCAATCCAACAAAATAAAATATGTAAATTGTTTTTGATAAGTTATATGACTCATACCTAGTCTGGAGCTTAAAAGACATTTCTTTTTGAAAGTTTATAATTTAGTATAAATTTTAAAAAATAATTATATTATAATCAGATTATTAAAAGAACTTAACAAAAATCTTAAGGAAAATCAATTAGAAATTATACATGAATTCGATATTTATTATTAGATAAATGTAAGCAGTTAGTTCTTATAAAAAATAATATAAATAGATATTTTTATCCTTATAGAGAACTCTCCAAGGCAATTTTTTGAATTAATATCACCATAAAAATAAAAAAATAGATCTAAGTAATTATAATCTAAACGGATTATGAATAATGGCGGAACAATAAAAAAAAAAATAATGAAATGAAATATAAAATAATATTAAAAAAGCTGAAAATCAAATAAAATGGATAATTAAAAAATAAATGATAGTCGAATAGAAATAGAAGAAGACCTATAAAAGTTGGGAAAAATATACTAATTATAAAAACACACTTGCAGATGATAATTAAATTAATAATAAATTAAAATCTAAGCCTAATCAGAATTTTTTTATAACCTTTACGTTGTGTTTGGTTCATGGATATGAGAAGAGATTTGGAAAGAAAAATAAAAGATAGATAAAATATAAATGAATTATAATTACATTTCACATGCGTTTCACACCTTTTTCAAATTCTTATTATTATTTTTTAATCAGAATTTTTTTATAACCTTTTTCAAATTCTTTTCTAATCAAGGACCAAAACACAACCTTAGGCTTACGTTCTATTTTATATTGCCTTTAGGACTAAATTAATTCGAATTAAATACTTTAGAGACTTAATTGACAAATTGAAACTATAGGGACTTAAATGAAAAAATATAAAATTTTAGGGACTATTATTGTAATTTATCATATATATATATATATACAGAGAAAAACAAAAACACTGAACTCAAATGCCAGTGCTCCTGCATGATATATATACTAGTGAAAAAGGTTAGTGCTATGACCATTTCACTTTAATATTTTATTGAGTTTATTAAATGAAATAGAATAATATGATATTTTTTTGAAAATATTTATTTTATATTTGATTCATTCAAAAAATAATTAAAAAAGCATTGTAAAAAAATAATTGTTCCACAAAAAATGAAAAAAAATAATCATTTCATTTGATTGCACTTTATTCCATTCCACTAGCTGAGCTTTTTCTCTAAAAATAAGATTAGTTTTTTAACAAAATTAAATTGAATCAATGATTAAATATATGATCGAAATTTTAATTTCTATTATAAAGTACAATTATGGAATAAATAAATGAGATAAAATTTTAGTTCAAATGAGTGAATTATTATCATTATTATTTTTTAGAATGGAATAATCGAATGGTGATATTACACGTCAATGATCATATGATATCACTGTTAAACTTTGATTTGGTTTCATTCGTAAAAAAATATTTTTAGACCCTTGCCAGACACGGGCTATTCTTGTTATAAATTTATATTTCCAAAATAAAAATCTTATAACAAATTATTTTGTTTGGTTTGATTTTTTAAAATTATTTTTAGATGAATTTTCATTTGTTTTCATAAAATTTTTCATAATTTTTTTCAAATTATTTTTTTTACAAATTTTTTTCTCCTATTTATTCTGTTAAATTAAAAATTTTGATACGGAATAGTTTTAACTTCTAGTATTATGGGGACATTTTATGTTTTGAACAAACCTCAGGAGTTTATTTGTATTTTATCCAAAACCAACATATATTTATGTGAGGAAGAATCTTTGCATTATTACAAAAACCCTTCACTCAAATTAGTACTACCAATAATGGTAAATATTTCCAAAGAAGAGGATAAAATGAGAAAGTCAAATTATAAGTTACCATTAATAAATTATACAAAATGAAAGGGCAAAATAGGAAAGAAAGCCTCAAGGGTGTATTCGTAATTTATCCAAAATCAAAATATTTATATTTTATAACTGACTAAGATTTTTTGCATAATTACGAAAAAATCTTCATTCAAATTAGTACCACCAATATTGGTAAATAATAAAAAATAAGAGAGTAGAATGGGAAAACTAAAATGCACGCATCTATGGACGAATTACACATAGTCCCTATAGTTTGGGGTTCATGTCACTTCGATCTCTGACTTTTCAATTATGACATATTTGATCATGAATTTTGAATTTTGTTCCAAAATGGACGAAGATACCATTGCCCAATTTCAAGGACAAAATCGTCAATTTGATAAAATATAAACTAATTTGACAAAAATAAATGTTAAAAAAATATTTTTTAATTTTTAAAAATTATTTCTACCCACCAAAGATAAAATTATGTAAAATTGATAAATGTTTTACTCATTTATTTATTTTGCTAAATTGATTTTTATTATGTGTTTGAATGATGATTATGTAATTGGTGGTTGTTAGTAATCAATATATTTAATATATGAAATGTTTTTAGTTTTGAATTTTTTGATTTAATGGATTGGTTTAATAGTGATATCAAAGTTGTTGCCATATTTGACTTTTGAAAAAATGAAAACTAATTTAATGAAAATAAAAACAACCACTCATTACATAATTATCATCCAAACACATAATAAAAATTAATTTGATAAAAATAAAAAAATAAATAAATGTGTAAAAAAATTATCAATTTTACATAGTTTTATATTTGGTGGATAGAAATAATTTTTAAAAATTCAAAAATATTTTTTGACATTTATTTTTATCAAATTAGTTTATATTTTATCAAATTGACGACTTTGCCATTGAAATTGAGTAATGGTATCTTCAATTGTCTTTATTTGGAATAAGATTTAAAATTTAGGGTTAAATGTGTCACAATTAAATATACACAAGTCCCAAACTATAGAGACTACTACTGTAATTTGTCCTAGTAAATATCCAAACCAAAGGGCAAAATCGAACAAAAAAATACGAGCCTCAAAAAGCCTTCATCCAAATTAGTACCACCAATATTGGTAAATAATAAAAATAATAAAAGGATAAAATGGAAAAACTAAAATGCAAGTCTCTAATAGTAAATAATTCCAAACCAAAGGGCAAGATTGAAAAAAAAAAAAAAACACGAGCATCAAGCATGTAAGCACTTCTTATATATATATAAATTCAAAAAACTCATTGTTGGGTGTTCAAAGTAGGAGTGACTGGGTATTCAAAATTGCAATGAGTGAACTTCTTGAACATATGTATTAGTATTAAAAAAAAAATTCAGGGTGTTTAATTAGCTAAAGAGTAGAGCCGCCGCTTGAGAGAGAGAGAGAGAGAGAGAGAGAGAGAGAGAACCTGAAATATGTTTGAAAGAAATTTTTCTGTCAGGATGTCGTTTTGCTTATTCTCAACCAATTTGAAGCAATTGTTGAAGCACACTATGGCATTACCTTGGATTTTGGATGGAATCCATATTGTTCTTAATGATGGGCAATCATTAGCAATTAGGGTATGCATTGTAGGTGAAATCTCTGGCAATTCTTGAAGCTTCTTGCACTGGCTCAAACACAACTCCTTCAGCCTTGAAAGTCGATTCATGCTTGCAGGTAAACTTTCCATGTTGTTTCCATTTAGGGATAAATATTTCAACGAGTAGATGCTACAAATGGCTATGGGGATAGATTTTAAATTACAAAAACTGAGATCTAGTGTCTGTAAAGACTCAAACCCTGACAAGGCTGCTGCTAGTTCAGAAGTCATGGAATTAGATGATATTCCTTTACACCCTTCTAGACTTAGTGTATCAAGCTCCTTTAGACGTCCAATGGAGGATGGGAGTTGTCTAATTGCAGTACAATCTAAACGAAGCTCATATAAACGGTACAAAACACCCAAGTTTGGTGGCAATTTGTCTAGTTTGGAGCAACCAGAAAGGATTAAAGTTCTAAGATCTTTTAGCGAACAAATGCTGTCTGGGATACTTCTCAAGTTTTTACAATCACTCAGACTAATCAAACCAAGATTGGTAAGATGTCCAACTGAAGGTGGAAGTTCACTGATACCTGTCCCATCTAAACAAAGCTTTGATAAACATTTCATATATCTCAAGCTGATCAAAACGTTATCAATCTTTGAACACCCAGAGACAATAAAAACTTCAAGAGATTCCAATTGAATGCCACATGGAAGACTCTTGAGACTTTTGCAGTCCTTCAAGTTCAAACAAATAAGCCTTCTGACAACTACAATGGATGGATGAAGATTAACCAAACTTGTACAACCTTCAAGAATCAGTCTTTCAAGATTTGGGGCCCCTGTGAAGTCTGGGCACTTCGTCAGATACGTCGAGTGACTAAGATTCATGATCCTTAACTTCCCTAGATGCTATTGAAGAAAAATATAAATACAAATAAATTACATAAATTATATAGAAATAAATTACGAAAATTATATTGTGTCACGGACTTTGCATCTTATTCAAAGTAATTAAAGAGAATGCATATTCATACCATTGTTCGCTTCCAAAGTTGTTCAATGCTACTATAGGTTAAGTGAAGTTCGACAAGATGCTCTGGTTGAAATGTTGAAGGCATGTATTTCATAGGGTATCCTAACTAGTCAAGATACCTTAATTTGTTAGGAAGATATTTGAGTTCTTCTGAGAGGTGCCTACAACAAATTTTGAGAATCCTCAAGTTCGACATCTTTGCAAAAGCTTTAGGCCTCAACTTCAATTGTTTTAGAAACCGAATGTCCTTTGGATCTGGATCTCTTAGGTCACTAGACTGCATAACTATGCCTTCCACTTTGTTTGTTCCCTAATAACCACAAGCAAATAACAAGAACACAATATTAGAAGGCTGACAAAATTATGCACAGCTAACTTTTGTTAATTAAACAATTTTTGAGTGTTCATGCTTTTCTATGAGACCTCTTACCGTATCGTCCATCAATACAGGTTTTATATCTTCATCACACCATAACCTAGTGCGCTTTCCAGGCTCTTTATGTGATTCCTCGCAAACAATATGCCACCCTAGTTCTTGTATCAAATCATGCATCAACAGCTTATTGCTTGAGATAGTTATAAGAGACTTTTGAACAAGAACATCTATTCCAATAATTGGGTGGAAGCCACAACTTTCTAGTATTTTTGTAACATCATTTTTGTCCTTCCCTTTGAAAAAACATGCAATATCTAAGAATATGTCTTTCTCTTCCAATTCCAATGCATCGTAACTTATTCTAAGTACTTGTAGAACTTCCTTGAGAGGGCTTTTTTTCAATCTATTTAATGAACTTTCCCATTCATCTTTGTTTCGACCACAAAGAAAAGAACCCAAAACTTCGAGAGCTAAAGGGACTCCGTTAGCATACTTTACTGCATGACGGACAAGCTCTCCATAGCCTCCCATTTGTCGGTGTTTCCCAAAGGCTTTCGATTCAAAGAGTTCTATAGCTTCATATTCTCTTAATTGCTCAACCTCATAGATATGTTTTATGCCATATCTAGTTAACACATGCTGATTTCGAGTCGTTACAATGATTCTACTTCCAAAACTGTACCAATCGTACTCTCCTACCAATTTTTTGAGTTCGGTTGATTCATCCACATCATCAAGCACGATAAGAACTTTTTTATGACATAATATGTTTCTTATCATATATACTGCATGACCATCACTTCCTATCTTCAAATCCTTTTCCATTAAGATTTTAGAAATGAGTTGTTCTTGCAAAGTTTTTAAACCACATTTTTCTAAAACTTCTCTAACATTCTCAATAAAGCTGTAACCTTCAAATTGGCAAGAGATACGATCATAAACAGATCTGGAAATAGTAGTCTTGCCTATTCCACTCGTTCCCCAAATACCTACAACACGAGCATTATCCATCCCTAAACCTAGCAATTCAATCACTTTCTCCGTACGAGAAACCATCCCAACTAGGTCTTTGCCAATGCTTGAACATGTATCAATTAATTTTCTTATCAATTAATTTTCTAAAAAGTATCTCGACAACTTCTTGGATGAACATTGATTCAGACCTGTGCAGATTTAGGGGAATAGCAATAAATTTATTTATCAAAACTCAAAAGAGCTATAAGAAGGAAAAGTGTCATTAGTTTGGTAAAATGGTGATTTATTTTACTCATTGCAATTGAATAGCACATATAAATATAGTTTCCTTCTATTTGATATGATCATAAAGAAAAACATGAAAAGTCCTTATTTGGTTTATTTGAATGGCACATTGGGTTTCTAAATTTTCCCACAATTGATCTACTTTACTAGTTATTGAACTACATTTGTTCAGTTCTACTCTAATTTGTTGTCAGAAACCCTTAGGAAGATTTCTATTTATAGAGTTGTTTATAGTATTTTTTATTTCAAAAATTTGTGTAAGAGTGTTCGATGAAATTTTGGTTTACATCTTATGAGTCATAAATAGTTTAAATAAACATGCAAGGGGATAGATTTTGATTATTAACTTTTAGCTTGCTAGAAACCGCATCAAATAAGTTAGACTATATTTCTAACCCTTCAACTTTAAGACAAAGTTATTTTTGAATTTACGAGTTTGGTACAAATTTGTAGAGGAAAAGGAAAGAGTGCAAGAAATGTAAATAAAATATAAGTAAAAAAATTTCACCCTTCCTTCGATCTTTTTCTTTCCTCCATAAATTCATGTCCAAACAAACCCTAGATCCAAACACAAAGGTTATATGATGATTTTCTTTTTCTTTAATGTAATTAAATTGACAATGCTTATTTCACGCATATTATAATGTTTCTTAAATCGTTATTTTATTACACATATTATAATGTTTCCCAAATCATTATTTTTACTGTCAAACTTATTATTTCTTAAATATGATAAGTTGCACTAAGATTATCCTTCCAAATCATTATTATGTTATAGAGTTATTTCAGTTGCACTAAGATTATCCTTCCAAATCATTTTTTTTTTTCCTATTTTAATCAGATCTTGCATCGCATATGCTGCAACCTCTCCTTAAATAATTTTATAATTATATCTGCATAAACATGAGGAAAAATTGGTGAAAGTGTTCCGAAAGGAAGGCCAACTTTGATGGTTACAAGGAGACGTGCCGTTTTGGGAATAAAATAAAAAATCATGTTTTTGGACAAAACGTCCAAAAATGCAAGTGCCAAAAACGCAACAAAATGGGTTTGGGAAGAGCCAAAAACACAAGTGTAAAATTACAAATTAGGGCCTATGACAAAAAAATAAAAAAATAAATTTCTTATGTTGGATAAGGGTATTTTGATTATTTTAATTTGATTTGACACCATAAACAAATATTAAACTAAAAAGCCAAAAGTCAACTTTTTACCAACTTCCCAAAACAGCATAGCACTCCCTGATTGGTAAGTTCAAAAATACAGTGAAAAGAATAATTTTGGAGATTTAGTTAAAACTTTCTCATAATAAAATTTCAATGCATTAAGGATAATCACAAAAAAAATTTCTTGAAAAGTTTAACACATCACTTTTATCAAAATATTAAATTTTAAAATAATATAATTTTTGATGTAAATGTCAATTTTTAATAAATTTCAGTCTGCTTGGTTTCCATTTCTTGAATTCACTTTTTAGAAAATTTTACAGTTTCGTTTTTCATATTTTTTTTTGTTTTCACTGAATTTTTTTAATATTTTAAGTAATTTTTTTATAAATTTTTTTGACACACCTAACATAAATACATTTAAAAAGTATAATATTTGTGAAAAAAATCTTAAAAAATTCACTAAATAGGAAAAATATGAAGACAAAAAAAGAAATAAAATTCAGTATATTTTTCATATTTTTGTATATTTATTATTTTTTTAAACTATATTTTTCACAAATATTTTCTTATTTAGATATATCTAAGTAAGGTGCATCTAACAAAATAAAAAATTACTCGAAATTTTAAAAATATTCAATAAAAACTAAATTTTCAAAAAATTAAACTCAAAAAATTAAAACCAAATACATTGATTAATATTTTTTGAATCCTCTCATCAAGATTTATCAAATAAAATCCATGTTGATTATGAAATTCTTAAAAAAAAAACATAAAAATTTATTACCGTTAAAATTGATGTAAACATGTTATTCTGTTTGACAGTAATATGTTATTCTGGTTTACAGTAAGATGTTACTTAGGCAATATTGTTCAAGAAAAAAAAAATATATATATTTTACTTTATCCTTACTTAATTATGTATTTTTTCCTTAGAGATTTACGAACTAAAATAAATTGAACTATCATTTTTATTAAATAAGGATCCAATGAAAGAGTTTTGACTAAAATTTTCAATAATTTTTTATATTTTTACTCTTTGTATATTTTTGTACTAATTTTTTTTTTTTAATCTCATAAGTTTAATTCTACAAATCTATTTTTAACAAAATTGACATATGTGAATTTAACTTTTTGAAATGTTTCAAGATCAATATTAGTATGAAATTTAAAATATATATATTGATAAAAAGTGAATATATACCATCGCAATTTACCCACAATGATACACAATTAATGATATATGCCCAATTTGTCACATTACTTTGAAAGAATTTGTGAGAAGTATATCATTACACAAGTTTTATCTAATTATCAGTTACCTGACGATTGCATCACTGGGGTAAGGCCATCCTGATAAATTGGCAACTTGCTCCAAAGCATTCCTCCACCTTTGAACATTCTCCATCCTCAATACTCCCTGTTTGGAAACCAATTCATCAAATCCATCCCCAAAACTCCCTCTTTGCCTTCTCACTTCTGATGGATGCTGAGAGGGTAATTTTGGTGAAAATTGGGCCGAGCTATGAGATGGACTTTATGGCCCAAAGTACGAAGGACTGGGTAAAAAGGCCGAAAAGTTACTCCGGCCCAGGAGAGATAAAGTTACTTCGGCCCAAGAATTGTAAAGTTATTCCGGTCCGGAAGCAACTTGGAGTTATGCCGGTCTCAGAGTTAGTCCGGTTATGACGTATTGTGGTTAGAACGGTCAAAACCTTGCTACTCGGTAGCTCGGTCTAAACATACCATGGTTTGTACATGAAAGAACCGAGATAGGGAGTGGGAAAGAAAGAACCGAACTAAGGATAGTTCGGCCTACTCTGTGGCTCAACATAGCCAGTATTATTTCGGTCATGTGGTAGTTCGGCCATGGTAAAAACCATCTCACTTGGTTTAAGCAGTGAGGGGGGTGTTGAGGGATAAACATTATCTTTCAGGAGTATGAATCCTAGGAGGACTCTGCATGGAGAAGTAGAAGTCCTACTAGGATTGTGCCACACGAAACTTATAAAAGCTCACAAACATCACCTTGGGGGAGGTAACACACAACTTTGCTTTCTGAATACACAGAGCTTTGTCTATTTGTCAAGTTTGCTGACTTAGGCATCGGAGGGGTTTCCGGCACACACCCGCCGGCTAGCCCACGTTTGTGTTTTCAGGTGGTAGAGCGACGACGTACGGAGGAGCAGACTTGGTCAACAGGATTATACGAGAAGGTTTATTTCTTTCCCGTACAATTGGCGCCGTCTGTGGGAAAAACAGACAGAACGAAACCTCTTGATTAAGCTTTTCCTCTTCAGAAACAATGGCACACATTGAAGAACTACCGCAGTCCGCCGTCGACGGGCTAACTCCAGATGGGGGCGCAAGGCGTGAAGGATTACCCTCTGTCCCTCCCATGGCAGACTCGGAGCCCCAACGACATAACACCAGGAGGGATACTAGGGGGAGGCGAACTAACAACCCTTGTCATTCTCGTTCGCAAAGTCCTGATTGGCAAAGGCGGAGGATTGATTCTCAAGCGCTGGAAGACCGCGTGAAGGAGCAAGATGAATTGATAAGAAAGATGGCGGCAGACATGGAAGCCTTGAAGCGCCAGATGAAGAAAAAAGAAGTGGCGACAGGAGAGGGGCGCAAAAACAAGACGCCCCCTCGCCACTCAAAAAATCGTAGTAGGAATACCACACCCTCGCAAGGAGAGAGCAGAAGCCTCAGGACAGGCGACACTCAATCTTGGTCTTCCAGAATTCGTCACTCCAGGTCTGAGAGGACGAGATCTGAAAGATCGTACACTGAAGGAAGCACGTATTGGCCCTCGCATTCGCACCAAACCAGATCTAGACAGACGGAGTTACCCAGATCATCCGACTTACGAACCGTGCTCGAAGAAAAAGCACGATGCAAGGAAGATGCCAGGGCACGGGATCCACATAGAGTTTCTGCCTTACAACGGTTGGCTCCTCGGACGCATGGAAGCGTCGAGGTTGGAATGCCAATACCGCGCCCTGCCTACGAACCAACGGACAAAGCATTAGCAAGGCTGCAGACTTCGCCGTTTGTTCCGGCGATTGAAAACGCGCCCCCTACCATCAGGCTTCTTTCAGCCAAAATTCACTACATATGAAGGGAAGACGGACCCCTACTCACACTTGAGCCACTTTCGCCAGGTCATGGCTGTATACAGGCGAAACGAGGCCTTAATGTGTATACTCTTCCCATCAAGCCTTGGCGACCTAGGCTTGACTTGGTTCGAGAAACTTCCAGAGGGCAGCATAGCCTCCTGGGCACAATTGGCAGAAGCGTTCGTAACAAGGTTCCGAACAAACACCAAAACACCGGTGGAGATCGACTAGCTACTCTCCATCGATATGGGCGATAAAGAGACCCTTAGATCCTACAAGAGTCGCTATTGGGAGACATTCAATCAGATTGGGGACTGCCCCACCAATCTCGCCATTGCACAGTATAAAAGAGGCCTTCCAGTCGGGAACAGACTAAGGGACTCAATCACCATGACGCCGCCCCTCACCATGGAAGCCTTGATGGAAAGAGTGCACCAGCACATCAGGGTAGGGGTAGAAGAGCATGGCGCACGTGCCAAAGCAAAATCTAGTGCGACCGCAGTACCAGAAAAGAAAACCTCAGCAAAGCTCAATGCAGCAGATCGTCAGAATAGAAACGGACGTGGCAGACGAGATAACGGAGAAGACCCAGATAAAAGATGGTTAAGAATCCGCACTGCCATAACAACGGTGTTCAAAAAACCGATATATCGGATTCTAAGCGAAATAACAGATGAGCCTTTCGTCAAGTGGCCAGCCAAGCTAGGAGAAGCTCAGAAGGACTATGACGAAAGATTACGGTGCACCTTCCACAAAGAAAAAGGGCACCGCACTGAAAATTGCACGCCATTGAGACAGCACTTGGAGGAATTGGTGGCAGCAGGACACCTGGATAAGTACATTGAAAGAGGGACGCAGCCAGCCCCCCAGGACCATAATAACCCCAATGGGATGCCAATCGACGCCCCGCCTCAGGGCATTATCAATGTGATACATGGAGTTTTTGAACCTGAGCGTGTATGTGAGCTCAGAGGATCAATCAAAAAGGCTGAGCACTTTAGAGAAGTGCTAAGTGCCCAACTTGCCATCAAGAAGGGGAAGACAGAGGCAACGAACGTCATGTCCTTTTCGGATAAAGATTTGGAACGAATTTACTGCCCCCACAATGATGCCCTAGTCGTCACTCTCCGAGTCAAGGATTTTGACGTCAAGCGGATTCTAATTGACCAGGGTAGTTCATGTGAAATCATGTACTACGAAACATTTAAACAATTAAAACTGTAAGACAAAGACTTGGCGCCTGCCGTATCTCCCCTAATTGGATTCAATTCCATGCCAGAATGGCCCGTCGGTAAGATAATTCTTCCAGTCAGAGCAGGAAGCGTGACAAAACAAGTGGAGTTCTGGGTATTGAAGGTCCCCTCCACTTACAACATCATCTTGGGCAGAACATGGCTGCATGCCATGCGATCGGTGGCGTCATCCTACCACCAAGTGATGTGGTTTCCCAACGACACCGGTATAATTGAAGAAGTCTATGGAGATCAGATCATGTCAAAGCAATGCTTCGCCACGGTGAATGACAGCCGCGCTGCCAAAGGATACGTCCATTCGGTGGAAGAACCCGAAAGTAATGAGCTATTCGCAGATGTCGGCAAAGTGGTAGATCAGAAAGCAGTGGAGGACTTGGTAGAGGTAAAAATAGATGAAAAGAACCCGGATAAGTTCTTTTTGCTCGGTTCGTCGTTGTCCAGCACTGAGAGATTAGAGGTCTTGGAATTCTTGACCTCTAACATCGAAGTGTTCGCCTGGACACCCTACGACATGCCAGGCATTAATCCAAACTTCATCTGTCACCAACTTAATGTCCACCCATCCGCCAGACCAGTCATTCAGCGCACTCGCAGATCGGCACTTCACCATGCCGAAATAGTGGCAGAAGAAGTAGGTAACCTGCTGGAGGTAGGAGCAATTAGAGAGGTGCACTACCCAAAATGGATCTCCAACACGGTCGTAGTGCCAAAGAAGAATGGAAAATAGCGTGTCTGTGTCGACTACAAAACAGTCAACAAGGCGTGCCCAAAAGATAGCTTCCCTCTACCACGGATAGATCAACTGGTAGACCTGATGGCAGGGCACAACCGACTTAGCTTTCTGGATGCATACAGAGGCTACCACCAAATCGCCATGCATGAGCCAGACCAGGAGGTCACATCTTTTACAACTCCAAGAGGACTAAGGTCATGCCTTTTGGCTTAAAGAATGCAGGGGCAACATTCCAACGGATGGTTACCAAGATGTTTGAACCATTGTTAGGCAGAACAATGGAGGCTTACATCGACGACATGGTGGTCAAGAGCAAGGATGAGAATGACCATCTCAAGGACCTAGGCGAGATGTTTGAGATTCTAAAGAAGCACAAGTTGCGCCTCAATGCATCCAAGTGTGCATTCGGAGTAGGATCTGGCAAATTCTTGGGCTTCCTTGTGACCAACCGAGGTATAGAAGCGGACCCCTCCCAGATCAAAGCAATCCAAGATTTGGAGAGACCAAACTCAGTGAAAGAAGTACAGCATCTCACCGGCATGGCAGCTGCGCTCAACCGGTTCATAAGCAGGTCGTCAGATAGATTACGACCATTTTTTCATGCCTTAAAAGCCAAGTTTGAGTGGGATGAAGAATGCGACCAAGCTCTGGAAAGCTTGAAGGAATATATGTCTTCCCCACCACCGCTTGTTACCCCAGTACCTGTTGACGAACTCTTCTTGTACCTAGCAGTCTCTCAGCACGCAGTTAGCGCAGTGTTGGTTCGTGCAGAAGGAATCCAACACCTACCCATCTATTATGTCAGC